ATCTTTGTATAAAATTTGATGCTACTGTATAAATTAGTTAAACAGATGTTATATTCAAATATAATTTCTATACAAATATACAATACACAGTTTCAGTAGAAAAAACGTTAATTAGATGTACAATATACCTATGTTTTTAGGTTTTATTGTTAGGATCTCAGGGTTATAAATCGTATTTTCGAGAAAACAAAAAGACTACCCATGCAGACTATTGAGTCCTCAATCTCCGTACCGGCTGTAGTGCTGTACCTAACAATAATAACATTCTCGTTAGACCTCCCTGTAGACATTTGAGAGTTATTACTATAAGGAGTTAGGGTTAAAACTGTTCTCATTGCTTGTTATTATTCATTTACATAAATAATAATATATCATTTAGTAGGTAGTTAATAGTTACCTAGTAGTTTTTTCCAAATATTTTATGACTACAGTGTACTTTACTTATTAATTCTAAGTAATAAAAAAATAAGTAATCACATTTGTTAAATATATTGGTTTTTTTAATGTTTGAGTTTGAAAATTATTTTATATTTTAATGATAAACTATTTTATAGACTTATGTTTAAGTTAACATTATTATGAATGTATAAAATAAAATACAATATAAAAACAATAAATGAACAATGTCATAAAGAAAATTATCTACTCAAGACTATTACCAGTTTCTACGCATAGCCGTCAAAAACAAATGATAATTTATTAGTTATATCATATTACATATTAGGTACCTACCTACTACTATCTAGTAACTGTATAAAACGTATTGTCAATCCAAGACATACTTTGTTGGTCTACGAATCTAAAATAATAGTTTATAAATACTGAGACTATAAACATATTTATTTGTTTATGATTTATAAATTACTAGCTGAATAGCCAGGAAAAAATTGTGATTGTTCAACTCCTTTTGGGTGTAAGTGTAACACGCTGTGTAAGCAATTTATTTTTAAGTGTAAAATGTAAATGATATATTTTAATGTATAGCACTATAGAAATCCCGACCGGCGTTGTTCGTGAGATTCGTATGTGATTATGCGAGCAGTATATTATCAGATAGGCAATTCACCGGTAGATCGCGGACCCTGTGTGGTTTGTACTTAAGTGTATAATTTAACTCTTAAGTATCAAAGTCATACCAAATTTGTCGGTTTTATAAAATCATAACCTAACTTAAACGTACTAAAATCCGATGAATAAAAAAAAAATCAAACATTCGATAGATAAAGAAGAAATATAAAAATAGGAAAAATAAGAAAAAAAACAATGCAAAAAAATGGTCCTCCGATCCGAGGTTTTGAATTGGAACATTTTATACTAAAATGCATAGAAGTGCCACTGCGTCAACAGGGTTATCACATTAATAATAATAATTATTATTAAAAGCAATAGCAACCGCATTTATAAACAAAAATGTCTATAATAACCTCAAAATCCCTGTGGGAGCACCTCCTCGAATTGTACCTCTAACTTACCCTTTTTAAGTAGCCTATCTTCTTCTCAAAGGTCTAATCTAACTCTGTACCAAATTTCTTCGCAATTGGATGAATGGTTTAGAAATGCATAAAGGGCAGACAGACAGACAGACAAACTTTCATTTTTATATAATATATAGTTTATCATATAATGATTATAATTCGTTTTTACCTGTATAAAAACAATTTATTTTATGACGTAAACACTTTTTTCTGAAACACTTATTGATAATTTTTATTTCCAAGAAATGCGTTTCCTCCCCAAAAAAAAACAAATTATTGTAAGGACAATACAGCATCTTCGACCCACAGACCACAATCCACACTGAATCATAAATTAGGTATTTGTTATAATTGTTCACTACGAGTATAAGTCTATAACTAATAAGTATATAAACATGCAATGGCGCCCAAATGTTTCATAATACCTATACCAATGAACACCTACTCAACTAAAAGTCGATCTCAAGTAGAATTGACAAAAATTCAAATCTGTTTTTAGAATTCTTATTGCTTGACTAGATCATAGGTACATAAGTACATTAGAATGATAACACGTCTAAATTCTTATGTTTCATGTGTGTTAGAAAAAGACAGAAAATCGCAACTTCCTATCCCTTTAACTGTGTAAACATTTTATAAACTTTAAAACAATTGATGTATTTTTTTTTCTTATTAAACATAAAGACCGAGGCAGCTAACTTAAGGATGGTTCATATTTCATTGTACAAATTTATTTTTAAATAAATAGATTGTGGATTGCAATTGGATCCGGACTGAGGATTTCGTAAAAATGTATGTAGCGGAGGGTTTCCACTCGATATTTCTGGTAATTTCTGAATTCGGCGAGGATAGTCAATTGAACGCCGCTGGTAGGGCGTTTGGGCAGATCGTCTCTTGGCATTAGATGTTGATGGATTAGTGAGGTGTGGCCTATTCTGAGACGATATATAAATGTTTCTTGTCTTCTGGAGCAATCTGACGGTGAACGCCATGTGGGAGTGTTAACATTTTAATTGCATTAAGTTTAGTCGTCTATTTTCAGTAATATTGTTGGTAGTGTGATTTTTTATGTATTTTTTTGAGTCGGTGTAAGAGAATTCTGATATAGTGATAGCTTTAGGTGAGCTGTGTGAAATTTTTGCGACCTCATCGGATTTTTCTTTGTCTGCTATATTGCTGTGTCCAGTAATCCACATTAATGATATGTGCGTTTACCAATGATGTATAATTTATTATATGAAGTATATTAATATGTATTTATTTTTTGTATTATGATTTATTTAGTTTAAACATTTTTTACAAAATTGTTTTAAGATTTATCAAAAAACGAAAACTCATTAATAACTATGTATAAGCATAAGATAAATTAAGAGTATTTTTAAAATCGTATAATCATTATTATATAATGCATTAATACTTTATTACTCTTACAAGTATTTTAATTGACGTTGAGTTAGTCTCACTTTCTCTAACCGAACATTTTTGTGCAATTCCTTTTATTAGAAGAAATAGGCAATTTGACAACATGACTGTTAAATGTGCATAAAAATAAATTTTAAGTTCATAGATATTTTGAAAATAGAACATTATTTTCTGTAATATATTTATTAATATTATTTGAAAAAAATCACTTTTACTTGCAAGATGTTATAATTTTATTTGTTATATAAAATGCATGTGATAATCATCACATAGACTTTTGCTATTGATGTATGGCAAGGACGAAGTTTATAACATTCCTTGTCATTGGCATGGCTTAATATAAATTTATTACTTATGTTATATTTAAAAATACATCTTAACTAGTGAGAATTGAAAATAAACATTATATTATATTAGAATGTTTATTGTTTAAAAAAAAGTTGCATATTAAATAGATACCGAATGATATAATATTAAAGATAGTAGATACAAATTGCATCCATTAGGATTAGATGATATTATAAAAAATAAAGTACACTATGTATAATTTAAAACTTGAAAATATAGAGAACATAAAACAATATCAAGTTCAGAATGATTCTTTTTCAAACTGTTCAAATTTAAACAGAATACAAATCTAAAATTGGTATGCTAAAGATTTTTTTATATAAATGGAAGTGTAACTATGTAAGTTTTATAGTTTGATTTTCGAGAATTTGTCAAATCAGGTTAGGTTAACCTAACCTATATTTGGTTGAAATAAGTAACAACAATAGGTAATAACAGAAATATTTAACTTTTATGATTAACTATCTATTTATCTATTTTTTCCTTCAAAATGTCCGTAGTTTGTTTCTTTTTTTTGTAACTTTTTATAGTTGATATTTTTCAAATATATCATCATGTTTTAATTAATTTAAATTAAATTTATTAGTATCATACAAATTGTATTAAAAATATTTTGATTTCACTAATTAGTTCTTTACAATAATTTATGGAACATAAATTAAAAACCTAATTTCATAATTTGAATAAATACATTTATATTATTAGGTATAACAACAGATATATATTATATTATAAATTACTTATCTTTATAAATACTATAAAGTAATAATTATTAATTACTATTACATATTTTAGTCTGAATATATATTAATAAATTAAAAAAATCAATATCAAATTATAATAATTTTATATAGATGATGGATATAATAAAATTATTCTATTAAAATTAAAAGTAAAAGCATGAAGTGTATGAGAAAAAAAATATTGTCATAAATCAACACAATATTATATAACAGGTAATAAGTAATAATACTAATAACATATAAACATAACTTAGAGAGTTAACCCAAGCATAAGTGATTATGGAATATTTATAATATTATGTAGGCAACAATAAAGGATACTAGCATACAAGAATTTGTAAACTTATAAAATGTCTTCTTAATGACAGTCATTATGACATTATATTGTATTTAGGCGTAATGCATAGTTAAATAATTTCGTTTAAGTATCATAATTGCTATTTACAACTAGTTAAGTATGCCATAAGACATACATTTTTATTAAAGAGTATACAATCGTTGAACAATGAACATGCACAATATTTACCGTCGATGACATAACTACTAATCTTAAACTTAACATAATATCACGACTTCGATTTTTATAAATTTCAAATAATACATATTTTATATATTATTATCATTGTAGTATACGGGACGTAATTATAACTTTTACTCCCGCTTTCGACACGAACGACGTCTTACTACAAAAAACACTACTTACAATATATTAATACCGTATTATTATAGTATCGGTAAATTACATTTTCCAGTGCGGACTAGGATAAAGAGTATTAATGTATATTATATTGTATACTTATAAAAGGATTCTATCGGAACGAGACTGCACACGTCGTGTGTTGGTTTAGTTAATCTTAAATCGTTACAACGCTTTGTTCGCCGGTTCTCGTAAAGAATATAATAATGACTGCGAAAAAAAACTGACTATGTACAGAGATCCCTATATTATATTATGATGTACGCCGCCGCCGCCGCCGGAACCTTTCCACGCGTCTTTGTCACGTTTGACTGGTCAAGGGGCGTCAAGCGGCACCATTGCCGGAGTTGGCACGAGACTTTGCAGAGACAAGTATCTGGACCGGTCGGACACCTCGACGTTGGTGATGTGCTCGAAGCAGCACGGTGTGGATATGTGCGACTTGTCCGGGAGCCGGCGGACAGGCGCCGGTCTGTGTTTCTGTTTTCTGGCGCTCTTCGACCGGTTTCCGGGACCGGACAGCCGGATGTTCTCCGGGTCGGAAGTGAGCCGGTCGATGTGCGACCACAGCTGCTGGGCAGCTTCCGAACAGTCAAAGCTCAATCCGATCAGCTGGGTGTGGTCGGTCGACAAGCACATGGTGTGGAACCCCTGGCTGGACACCTTGTACGAGGTTAAGTTGTCGATAGTGTCCCGCCACAGGGCGAAGCACGTGCCGCGCTCCACTAGAAGTATCTGGATGCGGGGCTTGTCTCTGGACCTGGTCTCCCCGCTGTCGTACAACACAACCGGGATCCCGGTGAACTTCAGGTCCCAGCTGCCTTCCGGAGACGAGTTGTGCACGTACAAGTTGGCCATCGATCCACACACGTACACCTGTAACGATTATTGACGACATTATTATTATATAATAATATTTTACGATTCGGGCATAATGGTGTGGCGGGTGGCGGAAAATATGTTTTCATAGATATTCAGTTTCTTGCATGATATCTACATATCGGCAAAAGGTTTGAAGACATATTGTGTTAAACAATAATTTCTGTGTACATTGTGTTGCCTATGTTAACCGCCTTTAAATATCGCAGACGTCATAATTTATTTTACATTTTTACTGGAGAGTGCCATTGTAAATTATTCGACATATCAATCATGTTACGAATGAGTAATGTAAAATTATTATAATATATATTCATATAAACTGGCATGTTGGTGCATGAGTGGCTGTTATGTGTTTAAATTTTCGGTAATTGAACAAATCGTTATAATGGTGATTTAGTGTACCACATTATTGCATTCTCTTACAAGCATATCACGATTCCTCTCTCTTCTTATGTAGGTATTACTTAATTCTGTACAAATTAAGTTTCTTTGGATTTAATTAATAGATTGTTTATTTAGGTTAATGAAATTCGGTTTTAAATCATTGCGTTCATTTTAACTTATTAGCTATTATTACCTACTTTTTAGAATTATTGAAGAATTATTGAAAAATGATACTATTGACAATCCTGTTTCAATGAAACTGCAAACATTTATATATTTGAGGTTTTCTGTCTTATTTTCAATTTTAATAAATACTCAAAGATTCAAGTAAGTTAGAATACTATAGTAATTATATAAGTACTTATATAATTAGGTGCATATTTTATATACATTAAACAACCAAACCTTTATTATATATTATTATCAAAATAAATTATAATTGTATAATTTATTATAATGATAATCGCTCAGAAGTAATTTACGATTTTTATTTTAACGATTCAGTTACCACTTAGTGGTATGGCGATAGCATAAATCAGTACAACAAAAAAAACAGTATATATTGTATATCAGGTATATTAATTTGAGTGTAAATCTTTTCTTTGTTAATAAATGGCTAAAATAAAATGTCACGATTAACACAAGACCTTTAAAATTATTATATTCACTTTAACTAGTATGTCGCATACAATAAATCGATTATAGTTTATTATTATATTTTATATTATAATGATAACTTTATCTAGGAATTTTGTAATTGATTACATAGGGGTTCAGCGAAACATAGTTATTGATCATTATGATAATTGACATTAGTTATAAGTTATAGGATTGAACTAGAAAAAAATGGTTGTAAAAATAATTGAATATTAATTTTAAAAATAAAACCATGTGAAATATTATATACCACAATTGCTCAGTATTATTTCTATTATTTCGTATGTACGGTCTACCTTCTCGTCTTAAAGGGGGTTCACTGTGTTGTGTGAACCCCCCTTAACAACACGCACCGTGCAGTGTGTTATCGGTGGTAGTCGGTAGGCTTGAGAAAAATGTAACCAACATCCGTGGTACACTATAGGTAATATGGGCGATATAATTCGATTACACGTAATACACCAACAAAGAATAACGATCACTATTAATTGCGTCTTTATCCTTCGAAATGTATAATTCTTTAAACATATTATTTTGACACGTATAATCCTGACGTATCTAGTTTTTCATTAAAATATATTTTAATCCCAAACCGGCATTGAATAGTTTGAATAAACATAACTCGGCATAACTATTACACGCTATATTATAGCCGATTATAATATAATCTTGTTTGTTTTGATTTCAATACATATTTTACAAAATATTCACATAGAATAATTTGATAATAAGTCCAGTTAAAGTGTATATACACGTTTTATGAATACGAAATATTATAAGTTGAACTACAAAATCTTGTTTAATAAGTAACAAGTTTGTAACTATAATGAATACCTACTCTTTATATGAAATAATATAAGTATTTTTAAATTTTAATATTACATTGGCATTTAAATTTGTAACTATATTAACTTGCTCACGTAAATCTGAATTTGATTGACTAAAGAAAATAGTTACTTTTCTAAACTCTAGTTGTTCCTATAATACATACTTGTTACTTGTAAATTAATTTTTAATGGATGTATGACGGCTATTGTAAAATAGTTTAATCAAAAATGCGTATTTGATTGCAGATGAGTATTTCAGTGTGCTACATCCAGTCATATTTACTGTATAACAGTAGTTATGTGTGTGGTGTAAAAAAAATAAATGTTAACTAGTAGTTATGAGTCTTAAAAGTTTTAGTAAGTTGTTATTTCAATATGTAAAATATAACTATTAATTATGTACCTTTCTATGGTGTTCAGGAGAAGGGAAACATTTAATAGTAGTATTCGATAGCAATATTTTTAGTTTAAATTCAGTTTAACTTGATTTATAAAACCTTCTCCTGCCTTTATTATTATTAAAATCGTATGGAACACTCAAGAAATCCTAAAAACCTAAATAAAACTTTTTTTGAAAGTATATTTTGCCTTAACAGAGTTTTGAAAATTTAAAATGTTATTAATTACAGCTAGTATAGATACCTGTGTTTTTAAGCCTTTGTAACAGGATTGCACCTGAAGTTGATCTTTGTCTGAAAGTTCAGCACTCTCCCCACTGCTAGCGCTGCTGCTGCTGCTGCTGCTACTGCTGCTGCTACTGCTACTACTACTGCTACTAATTCCCATATGTGAATCCATATTTTCCGGGAAATTGCCACGGAGAGCTTGTTGCTGATCTGTTCTGTCTACGTTGATCAATGAGCAAGCTGCATATCCCGATGAAATCGAACTTGGGGACACTGCAACGCCAGGTGGCATGATTGGATTCTAGAAAAATAGAAATACACATTAGTTTCTCACAGCACATCCGCGGTTTAACGCTGCATAACAAGTGTTCTAAGGTCAAAGTTGCTACGGATACAGCAAGCGATAAAATATTTAAAAACATTTTTATATTAATCATTGCTCTTATAAACTGTCAATAGGTATTTGTAATTACTTATTCATATAAGAATAAGTTATGCGTAGTAAATAGTAAGTACCTAATTAAGTTATTGTCATTCTTTCTTCTTGGAATAGTTTTTGTGTTCGTCACACAATCGTATTCAAGGCATTGCGTTATGTACGAACACCCTTTTTCATACTTCAGTAATCAGTATTACGATAATGATATCGGTTGAGTCGTTAAGACATTCAGAGACTATTATTCCAACGAGCCTATATGATAGGTACGTACATAAAAAATGAATTTTCAATTAGTGAGAAATGCAGTGGAAATAATGTATATATATATATGGAACAGATAAAAAAATCAAGTTCAATTAAGGCGGCTTCTCTCCTCTTTCTCGTTCAAGCAAACTGGTCACAAACTCGCAAGAATGCAGTTATTCGAGTAAATAAAATTATAAACATTTCAGCCTACCAAATGCACAACGTTCAAATAATAACGGTACGATGAGTATTATATATAATGTTAAAACGGAATTATTATGATGAGAATCTAATGCACATTTCATATAACGGCGGTGATGAACACCGTGACGATAGATATTGCAATGTCATAGGTCATAATAGTATGCCAAATGTGTACATATTTTATAATATGTGTGCACTGTGCTCGATGTACGAATAAAGTACTTACACAAATGGCGTATATTATAAATTATGTAATGCATATTTTTATAGGCTCTTGGAAGATTTATTTAAATCGGAAACATTTGACAGCCTATATAATACATTATTATATAATGTAAGTATATTTATTAAATATCAACCCACGGTTAAAAGTCAATTGGTCTTTCTAACGCAACGGTAAGATTGCTTATGGTACTTCTTGAAATATTATTTTTTTTTAAAACAGTAACAGAACCATTTTATTATAATCAATTATTATTCTATGCAAGTATATATTATGTCATATTCCAGAATCCAGGCATATCAGTTCGTTAAAACTATGCAGTAAGTTTGAGAAATTAAACGAGGTATAGACCTATTATAATTTAGCAGAAAACTTTACCTAAATGAGAGACGTCTGTGAATCACTGCAGACGAGTCATCAGTCTATTATTGTATCGACGACGGGTAGCCGGGAGAACACCAATATTATAATATTAAGTTATAACTTATAAGTATAGCGGCAGATGAACATAATATCATGATAATATTGTAGATATTCTAGCCAGAATGTTAGAGTGTTGATAGAACTGATTCGGCGTGAAATTTGACGGCTTTATTAGACGTTCGAAATGTAGAGCGTCTCCAACTGTACCGCGAGTATAATATTTTTATGTGCAACGATTGTATTCGCGGATCACAATAACAGGGAAAATCGGCGACACGCAGTGAATTCAGTGCGATTGTGCGTCATGTGTTTTTTTTATTGACGTACCTACATAATAAAACGTGTTGTCGAGGTGTCAAAATCCATATCAATTGGGCGGCGCGTAATATCAAATATCGTTTCCTCGAGCTCGTGACGAACGCGCGATTTCAACGACATAACGCAAACTGATATCATAACGGTGGCCCAGGCAGGAAGCATATTGTCCGATCGCAGTTTACGATAATATTATAAAGTATTTGTTTTGATAACAATACGACTTACATAAAAAAAAATAAACAAATTTACAATATTTACCGGGAGATGATCGTACTTACTGCAATACAGGGTACTGCATATGGTGAATATAAAGGAAAAACTCGAAATTCGAATACACGAACACCAGGGGTGACTAACTGACTAGTCAACAACTCGTGCAAATCGTACTTATTTTATCATTGATAAATAAAACTCAGCTTTTTTCTGCATTCAAAAAACTCGTGAGAACACCAAATATATTGATACCGACGTTACAAAACACATCTTACATCTTCAGAAGACTTTCTACAATAGAAATATTCAATCAGGTACCTATATTACAATGTATATTCCCGACCAAGGGTATGCCTATACTCACATTCACCGAGTTACATCAAGCAGCTATATGTTTTTTAAGTATAATTCTGTGAGCTTAATAAATGTATTAAGTGTGAATAAATGCACTGTATACGGTACACCTATTTCTTATGTATTGTTTTAGAGGATCGGTCTAACTCTAACGTTAAGATTATGCGTTTTTTGGTTTTTGGAAGCTTTATTTACTGATTCAATGACCACTATAACCGTTATACTATAAAATAAAACATATTATTCATATAGAGTTGGCATTTTAATGGTCAACGAAGTGCACGGGATCAGCTATTCGTTATTTTTAAAAAGCGATTAACCATAGCTAAACATAAAATACAGTAATAGCATTAAGAAAGTCCGATTACCTAGAAGTACAGTTTCTTCTTAATCAACATAAGAAGGTAATGCATTTGTATATTGGTTTAAGATTTCCATAGGGGGGTGGGAGGGTGGAATTTTATTTAACAGTTAAGATGATAAAAAAATCGTGTTTTATATCATAACTGTATATTATAACTATTAAAATGTGAAAACGTTTATAATAACAACTTGGCGCGATCCGGCAGCCAATTCTGGATGACGCAGGTCCACTTTTCTAAACCATTGGCACTAAAACTATTCACAAAAGTTTTGATGCACACGTCACTTTTGTGTAAAGTATAGATTTATAGCGTAAGCACTAATTATACATTTATTATATAATAATACATCAATTAATGTCAAACATCCATCGGATCACTATAATAGTTGTACCTATAGTACATTAAGTACATACGGTGTACCTAATAACCTAAATCGGTTGAATACTTGTATTCGTTTCAACGAAACATTTCGACGTTTAAGTGGTGCATTATATTATGTATTTATGTGAACCAATTTCTGCGTCGGGACTTACCGTGGAGTACAATAATGGTTCCTACGTAAATTCAGTAGGTAAACGTCGAGAGCGTGTTATAACATAGTAAATATTCTGACATGACACAAACCGATTTGAACTTATTCCAATTTCCAGCGACAGAATAATGGTCGTGACTTCTGACTAACATGCTATTATCGAGATAGTATAATAGTACTTATATCGTGTTGATATATATTGTTATTGACACATAGTGATTTATTTACATTACATAAGAGTATAAGTGAATCACCGTTAATTCGCGCAGATAATTATTTCAGACCACAAAATATACAATAATGGTAGTCAATAATATTACAAATAATAACAAAGTGACGTGTGTATAGGTAGCATAATATTATATTATTATAACACGCGAATCATTGGTGCAGTGCGATCTGAATTTATTGGATTCGATGCGTGCGTTTATTAATTTGGCGCCCAGGACGTGGTCGTGCTGCAGTGAGACATAACCTCGGACGTCTATACGTATTTAGTGGTATTATATTGTTAATAAAAAACAACAAACGGCGACAATCATTACGAACTTGACCGCCAATTAACGGGTTTCGCGTTTATTTACGAAGAGCTACGCCGCGCAGTAGGTACCTATACGTTGTCGCGTGCGGCCGACCAAAAACTAGGCCGATTCCTGTTAATTGTTATCGTTGTACGGCCGCCGACTATAATAATTATCATTATGATATAATTTCGAAAACAGTTTGGACAGGTTTTGGTTCGATAATTATTCGTATACACGCGCTGCAGCCACCGCAGGTGCGTTTCCCGTTTTTATTATTATTATTATTATTCCCTGGACGTTCTAAAAAAAAAAAAAATAATAATAAAAATAAAAATATTCGTTGAATTTTATTTTCCTGACGACGGACGCGTTGAGACAATAAAACTGCAATGTATAATAATACTATTATATTGTAAATAAAGCGAATAAAAAACGTTCACAGCGATAAATATAATGTTCTGAGAATCTACAACCGATATTATTTTACTATGCATGTGTGAGTGTGTGTGTGTGTGTCGTGTGAGTGTGTATACTTCAGGTATATTATTATTGTTGATATTGTACCCATAATATACGTTGCACTCGATCCCGTTTCGCGGAACGATCGATTTGGACAAGATGCATTTTCAATTCGGTACGCAAAAAATCGTCGTCCTGCGCGGACCAACGATGCCTCCTAATGTATATAATATAATGTATATAATAACAATGTGCAGTGTTGTACCTATTTATGTACCTACTATAATGTGATATTAACAATATATGCAATAATTGACCGTGCAACGAAAACAAAATTGGCAAGATGTGGAAAGCACGAGAAAAAAATCCTTATACGTGACCAATGGGAGAGACGATAATATTGTCGGTGCCTATTACTATATTAAGGACCTACACCTATATAACGAGTCGTTTATTGGATACTCTACCTACGTCACATGTGTGTCACTCGGACAAGACGGCGGAGGAAATAAAATATAAAAGAAACGAAAGAAAAATCTCCCATTGTCAGCTGCACGGTCATAATATTAATATAATAACATATTTTATTGTACTGAAAATTGAGTAGTACATGCACCGGTCGTCTGTCCGTTGGCGACGGATTTTTTTTATTACATTTCATTCGTTTCTTCGGTCTTTTATCGTATGTCGAAACTGTAATAATATAAAATATAATAGGTACTTATTGCCACTGGGTAAAATCATTTTTAACGACGTATTATTATTGTATTACACTGTCGCGTTCCAAGAGATATGAAACCCGATAACGTATATCAGAACATTATTATGAACGCACAACGACGCTGGTAATCCTCAAACAGTGGCGTCAGAAATATTATTAAACATTTAAAACTCGATAATCGAATCACAGATTATATTAAAGTTTAATATAACCATTATAACCTGTGATCGAATAGTTTTGATTTTAATTATCAACATTTTGCTTGTATCAT